ACGGCTGATTTTGTTTTAGTGAGCTACTGGTAATCGTTACAGCTATTAGATTTTTACACATCATAAGAAAGAGCTAATGTTCATTCTTGCATACGTAACCTGATTTTTGCTTTTTTTGGGATTATGATACTTGTATAGTAAATGCGCGTTGCACATATATGTACATATGTATGTGTTAAATATATGTATTTATATGTTTTTATTGAAGACTGATAAGTTTAAATTTTTTTTCACTTATCGTAATTTCCTACTGGGTTGCTCATGCGGAGCAGTTCTCTTGTTCTCACCAACACAGTCACAGTTTAACTTTTGCCGACCACTGCTTTAAAGCTCTTCCACAATTGTGGTATGAAGCCCCGACCACTGCTTTAAAGTCAATTTTGATGGGAATGAAACTTTGGTGACAACATGCACGAGCAAAAGGAATAAGAAAGAAAAAAGCAAAAGCTGAGTTGCCAGAAATGGGGAAAATAGCATCCGATATTTCAGATATCGAAACAAAATATCGTATCGATACCGTATCGCAACTTTTGATATCGATATAAAATAACCGATATTCTCAACAACGATATTGATATATTGAATATCGTATTGGTATCGCGCGTCCCTAGCAGTTAAACAAAAGAAAATGAAGTACATTTGTACAAAGCGCAGCTGCAACGACGTACTTGTGTGCATGCATATGTAGGTAATACCATGTTCTGACCGACAACGAAAACACTTTGAAAACGAGTTTTGGAATGGTGGGCTGAAGGCTGTTCACACCGGCTGTTAGTGTTTTCGTTGACATTTCTTACATCCTCTCATTGCAGTTTTGCTACACAAAAACAAAACCAAAATGCTTTTCCCACATTTTCTTTTCATTAGCAACCTCTTACTTTCATTCTTATTTTACTTTGGCCAGCCAATTAACAATAAATACGAAATAGCGTACTAAAGATGATAAAATATGACTTCCACTTCGATAAATAATCGAAAAAAAAATAGTGAAGACACCGATTGGATCGAGTGGAACGTGAGTTTTCAAGTGGTTTTCAGCGAAAACTGGTTTTCGTTTGACAGATTTTACATGGACGAAAACACATGTTTTAGGTCGAAAACTAGTTTTAGCAACGAAAACATGTTTTCGATGTCGGTCAGAACATGGTATAAAAAAGGAAAGTGCAGTTGAAATATGTATATACATATGTGCAACATACAATCAGCATGTCGTGGGGTGCTTAACGCGTTTTGGAAATCAGTTTTTCTTTTCGTTTAGGTACGATATGTGAAACATATGTACAATTAGCATGCATACGGCACAATATGTAGTTACATTTCGCCGTTTAAAGTACAAAACCGCGAATCGTGGTTCTGCAAAACCGCGTAACTGACATTTTTTTGCCAAAAATTGGATTAGCTAACAATACTTTAAACTTTAAACGACTTGCTTATGGCCATAGTAGATAGACGTTTCAATGAAAAGTGTTTATGTTTTTTGGTTTTGTTGCGATTTATTTTTTATTATATATTATTTTTTATCAAATTTTATTTTTATATTTTCTCTGCAGGTCGTGGAATACAGATAGTACAAGCCAGCGGAGATTATATATATAAATTTTACCTATGTTGTAAATTAAATATTTTATGTTTCTTTTATTTACGTTTCATCATTTCCTGTAATAGATTTAAGAAATATTTGTTAGCAGTTCACCCTACGTGTTTGCAACCCTGTGCTTGACGTTTTACTCTCGCCGTTGTTTGCTGTAGCCGTTAGTTCGTTGCTATAAGTCTATAAATTGGCTCATCTCTAAAAACGGGAAACATTCTACAATTTTCTTAAGCGGCGCAAGCATAGGGAGCGCAAACTGAGAAATAAACGTTTGTAATAAATTCATATCATTCGATTGAAATAAATAGTTTAAATTTCTAGCTTCCTTTCAAATACTGCGTGGCGACATCTTTATTTCTCAGGTTTAATATCGGGAATCGACACGATTCCACTTGGCCGCCGCTATTAAGTCACAAGAAACAATTTCCGAAGCCGCCCTTTTCATATCAGTAATCGAAGAAATTCCACTTAGCTGCCCACATTAGGATTGAACTTTGCAATCCTTTAGAAGCCGCCATCGTTAAAATTGCAAAACGCCAATAATTCGCGACCAATTAAAATGCAGCGTTCGCCAGTACGCCGTAGTCCACGTCTTCAATCGGAGGACCTTCACAAACACAGGAGCCATCGCCAAAGTTACTGAAGCATGCAACAAAACCACTGAAATACCAGCCAGTGCTATCATGATGATCCCCACAGTCTCGGCAGTAGTAGCAGAGGCATCAATCGCCAATGCATCCCAAAGCCTCACTGCCGCCGCAGTCACTACAACGGTACCATTCCGCACTCCAGCTGCACCAGATGACATCAGAAGCGTAGTGCACTGTACATATACTAGCGCTCAGGCCAAGGCTCGGCCCTTGCAACATCGCCACGCCAACAGCAACCAACACAGCTATACCAATTCTTGCAAGTGCGCCGACAACTATTAACGCCACCAAGGAGAGCATGCTTTTTCTGATGCAAAGACAAATCGCTAACCTAGAACTGCAGCTGAAACATGTACAAGCCAGGATAGCAGAGAGTGAACACCAACACCAAAGACTGGAGCCCTCCGCCATAACATCATCTGCCTCGTCGTATTCCAGACAATTAGATGCAAAGGATTTCGCTGTAGCGAATAACGCTTCTTCCACCTTTTCGCATAACGGTCACTCAAGTCACGTAGTCACACGACATAACAGGACATCAGGCATGCAAAGTTACATCGGAACGATAGCTAATTCGTTAAATTGACTACAATATACCGTCCCGCCAATAAAAAAGCAAAGCCATATGCATATGGCGAGCGCAAATTCGTTATCAAGCGTAATTAGTCCTACAATCACACCGCACTCTGCATATAGCCAAACGATAAGTAACACCCCTCAGAGCGTCCTTCAACCTCCGCGAAAGCTCATGGACCTGCCAGAATTTTCTGGGCAACCCGAAGATTGGCCAGTGTTTTACGCTGCATACACTGAGTCAACAATAGCATACAACTATTCCAACTTCGAAAACAACCAACGCCTGAACAACTGCCTAAAGGGTAGTGCGAGGGAGAGCGTCAAGTCCCTCTTGATCCATCCTAATAATGTTGGAGCTATAGTCGAGCAGTTACGTGTCCGCTTTGGACGTCCAGAATAACTTGTAAGGAGCCAGCTGAAAGCCGTACGAGACATGCCATTTGTTTCCGAAGCAGCTATTGGAAAGATAGTGCCATATGCTACTGCCACAAAAACTCTTACCGTGTTCCTACAGTCCATCGGGGAAGAAAAGCACCTGGTCAATCCAACATTATTGGAGGAACTAGTGAATAAATTACCGCTTAGTAAACGCCTTGAGTGGGCAAGGCAGTCTGCCACGATTCAGCCGTATCCTACTATCATTAACTTCAGTGATTGGTTATCGGAGATCGCCAGTTTTGTCCAAATAGTGCAAGATAGTGAATTCCGTGAACCCAGATGTCGTGCAGTGTTGCACACTAATGGAGAACGCTTGATAAAATGCATCATGTGCCATGGTTTACACAAGGTGTCCGAATGCAAGAAATTCTCAGATGCCACCGTCGCCGAAAGATGGAAGCAATCCAAACGTCTTCGACTATGCTTCAGTTGCTTGAACGCAGGTCATGCCACGCGTGATTGCCATCACCGTAAGCAATGTATGGTTCATGGTTGCCAACGGCACCACCACCGCCTATTACACGAAGGAAACACCAGTCCATTAGAACCCGTTGGTCCAGATTCATCGGGTCAGCACTGCAGTCCTCAGTTGTTCAGCACAAGCTTCCCGTCGTTTATGGATTCGGGTGGTTCCAGTGACTCTTTATGGACCGAGCAAGCATGTGAACTCATATGCACTATTAGACGAAGGATCGTCATTAACGATGATGGATAAATCGCTCCTAGAGGAATTGGGATTGCATGGTCAAACGCGTGATGTTGATATTCAGTGGTTTGGCGGAAATGCTGTGAAAGAGCAAGTAGCAGTATTCAACCTGTAAGAAGCGCCACTTTCTTCGCAACGTCCACGAGGTCGACAAACTTGACTTACCAATGCAGAGCCTCAACGAAAGTGACATCCGCAACGCCACCAGATATCGACACAAAATACCAGTGCAGCCTTACGAGAACGTAGTGCCAAAAATATTGATCGGCTTAGATCATTGCCATCTAGGCTTGCCCAGTAAAACTATGCCGTCACCTTTACTGATTTAGGTTGCGTCGTGTTCGGTCCATGCGGTATTTCTCCGCATCAGTCCAACGTGCCTCCATATCAGCAATGCTTTCGATCACCAGATCCATAACATGGTAGCCGAGTATTTTAGCATTAAGTCATTCGGGTTGAAAGCAGCTCCGCCTGTCGAGAGCGCGGCCGATCAACACGCGAAGAGAATACTTGAAGAAACTACTATGAAAGTTGATGGACGATTTCAGACCGGGTTGTTGTGGAGATGTGACAACATCAAACTGCCCGAAAGCTACAACATGGCTCTCCAACGCTTAGTCGGTATCGAACGCAAAATTGAGCGAAATAGGAACTTCGGTACAGAGTACCGCAACATCGTTAAAATTTACATTAACAAAAAATACGCCCGCAAGCTAGAACCGCGTGAAGTCGTAAAATTTAATGAAAGGACCTTCCGCATTTCGCCGTGGCTAACCCACGTAAGTCCGGAAAGTTACGACTTGTCTTCGACGCAGCGGCTACCACTGATGGAGTATCTTTGAACTCACAACTGCTTAAAGGACCGCAGCAATATCGACCATTAGTATCGGTCCTATTTCATTTCAGAGGGGGCGCATTTGCGGTTTGCGCGGACATCCAGGAAATGTACCATCAAGTCCTAATCCATCCAGAAGACAGATGTGCTCAGAGATTTTTGTGGCGTGTTGGTGACCGCGGGAAGGCGCCGGAAGTCTACGAAATGACTGCGATGACGTTTGGCGCAGCATGTTCGCCATATGCAGTTCACTACGTGAAAGTTAAAAACGCCTTAGAACATCGCACCCATGATCCGCGAGCCATCAAAGCCATCACCGAATACCACTACGTGGACGATTACGTGGACAGTTTCAATGCTGAAACACAAGCTGTACAGATAGCCCAACAAGTCCGAGACATACACAAGGATGCTGGGTTCAACCTGCGAAAGTTTACGTCGAACTCTACAAAAGTCGCCGAAGCACTAGGTGGTGTGAAGAAAGCATTACCAATCTTATCTAAAGAAGGTGCAGAATCTGAGAAGGTCTTGGGAATGTTATGGCAACCGCCGGATGATAATTTCGCATACCGGTTGGAATTTTATAGAGTCGATTCGTCAGTGATCGAAGGCAAGCGCATTCCCACCAAAAGAGAATTATTGAGCATAGTAATGTCAATATTCGACCCGTTGGGATTCCTCAGCCACTTTACTATCTCCGCAAAGTTGGTGTTACGCGAGCTCTGGAAGCGAAGTATTGGTTGGGACGAACCAGTTCTCAACGAAGTCAATGCTATGTGGAGCGTCTTTCGTAAGCAATTGCTGACAGTTGTTGAGTGCAGAGTCCCGCGCCACTATTTTCAAATGGGTCCATCTAGGAAACTACAGCTGCACGTATTTGTAGACTCCAGCGAGAACGCATTCAGCGCAGCAGCTTACTGGAGATCGGAGAATATGAATCACATCATCGAGGTGTCGCTTGTCTATGCCAAGACTAGGAGCGCACCCATTAAGCCGCTCACTATTCCCCGACTCGAGCTACAAGCAGCTGTGTTAGGAACTCGCATGATGAATACAATAATAAGTGAACATAGCGTTCGAGCCAACCGATGTGTTATGTGGAGTGATTCAAGAACGGTTCTTAAGTGGTTATCTAGCAAACACCGCCGCTATAAACCGTTCGTGGCACACAGGATAGCGGAAATTCTCGATGTCAGTAAGCCGTCCGATTGGAGATGGGTTCCGACGAACCAAAACGTGGCTGACGAGGCAACGCGACCCAACAAGACAATAAATCTCAGTCCTTCGTCCCGCTGGTTCACTGGACCTGAGTTTCTATACAATAACGAGCAAATCTGGCCAAAGGACGCTGACGTCGCTGATGTAGCTGAAGATGACGAGGAAGAGATTCGCACAAAATTTGCCTTTATTGTCGTGAGTAGTAATGTTCTAAACTTTAATAGATTTTCTTCGTTTACCAGATTAAGAAGAGTAGTTACCTGGGTGATACGGTTTTTCTACTATTGCCGGAGAAGAATCGGTTCATCGCAGACCAATGGGTTGAAAGCAGCGGAGCTTGCAGAAGCGGATCATTTACTATGTCGCCTAGTGCAACGAGAATCCTACGCCAGTGAGCTGAAGCAGATCGAGAGCGGAAATTCTCTGCCCTCCGATAACCGTTTGTGCACATTGTCTCCTTTCATTGATGACAGAGGAATTCTCCGAGTATACAGTCGCCTTGACGCCGTCAGTTGGTTGTCGTTGCGCATGCGCACATCATGATGATTCACCAAAATATCGAAGCAACAATTTGTGAAGTTCGAAGAAAGTACTGGGTTCCTAACTTAAGAAGAGTTCTGCGTGGAATTATCGCGAAACCTGCTCCGCCAATGATGGGTTTATTGCCTGAAGACCGGATCACACCCTACGTTCGACCCTTCACGTTTACGGGCTTGGACTATTTTGGCCCGATCGGACGTCGAACCGAGAAGCGGTGGGTGGCGCTGTTCACGTGCCTGTCAATACGCGCTATTCACCTCGAAGTCGCATATGACCTTTCAACAGATGCTTGCATTTTAGCTATGCGTAATTTTATGAATCGCAGGGATGTCCCAAAAAGAATTCGTACGGACAATGGCAAGAACTTCGTGGGAGTAGCAGGCGAAGTTGCGCGCTTTGTAGATGTGTTTGACTGCCAGTCGCTGCAAGCGGAATTGTCCACTAAAGGGGTAGAATGGGTCTTTAATTGCCCGGAAAACCCATCAGAAGGCGGAGTCTGGGAGCGAATGGTGCAATGCGTCAAGAAGGTCTTGCGGCCTACATTGAAAGATCTTGCACCGAAGGAGCATACATTCCAAAGCTTGCTCATCGAAGCACAAAACGTGGTGAACTCGCGTCCGCTAACGCACTTACCTATCACACCAGAGCAAGAAGAACCGCTGACGCCAAATCATTTCTTGCTTGGTTGTGCTAACACGAGTTGCGTGGAACCACCCGAATAGCTAGACAACTTCGAGATCGGTTTTGGAAAAGATGAGTTGACGAATATTTACCTACACTAACGCGACGTACGAAGTGGTGCATGCCAACGGAGATTGGCGCTTTGGTGTTTATCTGTGATCCTAAACTACCAAGACGAGAATGGCGGCGTGGTCGAGTGTTGCGAGTATTTCCAGGCAAGGACGGCGAGATTCGTCGAGCAGAGGTGACTACGGCAACTGGTCTAGCTTATCGACCAGTATCCAAGTTGGCGGTCCTAGATCTGGTTGATGGTGAATCTGTTTCGATTCACGGGGGTGGGGGTGTTGTAAATTAAATGTTTTATGTTTCTTTTATTTACGTTTCATCATTTCCTGTAATAGATTTAAGAAATATTTGTTAGCTGTTAACCCTACGTCTTTGCAACCCTATGCTTGACGTTTTACTCTCGCCGTTGTTTGCTGGAGCCGTTAGTTCGTTGCTATAAGTCTATAAATTAGCTCATCTCTAAAAACGGGAAACATTCTACAATTTTCTTAAGCGGCGCAAGCATATGGAGCACAAACTGAGAAATAAACGTTTGTAATAAATTCATATCATTCGATTGAAATAAATAGTTTAAATTTCTAGCTTCCTTTCAAATACTGCGTCGCGACAACCTATTATTAATTTTATTATTATAATATCTAATATAATAATAATATTATATAATAATATAATAATAGTATTATAATATTGTTATTTTTATTACTACTTTAATTACTATTATTATTATCTATATATATAATAAAATTGTAACAGGTCGATGTCTGTACATTATAGATATTAAAGAAAAATTAATGTGGAGGGTCTTTTTTAGAGCACCAGAACCCAAATCAACCATTTTTAGAATTTTTGTCTGTCTGTCTGTCTGTATGTTTGTTCGCGCATCACTCGAAAACGAATACACGGATTTGAATGCAGTTTTCACCGATGTATTGCTAGAGGTCTAAATTAAAATTTAGGAAGAAAAAAAATTAGAGAGTTGCCACCTGTTTGAAAATTGGAGTTTAAGTAAATTGATAAGAAAAAATGAATATTGCAATATGGACGTCAAAAGAAAGAGAATGAAGAAGGCTTACAGCCAGAAATATTTTTTAGAGTTGCCACCTGTTTGAAATTTTACATTTAATTTCATTTATAAGATAAATTGAATATTGCAATATGGGGATCAAACTGAAAGGGTTTAGGAAATTATATTGCCGAATATATTTTTAGGGAGGGCTGCCACCTGTTTGAAAAATTTTATTGAATTAAATGATAAAATAAATGAAATCTAAATCTACATCTAGATATCTATACATATAATAAAATTGTAACAGGTCGATGTATGTACATTATAGATATTAAAGAAAAATTAATGTGTGGGGTCTTTATTAGAGCAGCAGAAGCCAAATCAACCATTTTTAGAATTTTTGTCTGTCTGTATGTTTGTTCGCGCATCACTCGAAAACGAATGCATGGATTTCAATGCACTTTTCACCGATGTATTGCGAGGGGTCCAACTTAAAATATAGGAAGAAAAAAATTGTATAGCTGCCACCTTTTTGAAAATTGGAGTTTAAGTAAATTGATAAGAAAATATGAATATTGCAATATGGGCGTCAAAAGAAAGAGGCTGAAGAAGGCTTACAGCCAAAAATACTTTTTTAGAGTTGCCACCTGTTTGAAAATGTACATTTAATTTAATTTATAAGATAAATTGAATATTGCAATATGGGGATCAAACTGAAAGGGGTTAGGAAATTATATTGCCGAAAATATTTTTAGGGATGGCTGCCACCTGTTTGAAAAATTTTATTGTATTAAATTGATAAAATAAATGAAATCTATATCTACATCTATACATATAATAAAATTGTAACAGGTCGATGTCTGTACCTTATAGATATTAAAGAAAAATTAATATGGTGGGTTTTTATTTAAGCTACAGAAGCCAAATAAACAATTTCTAGAATTTTTGAATCTCTGTCTGTCTGTATATTTGTACGCCCATCAGTCGAAAACATGGAATTGAATGCAGAGTTTTCACCGATGCATCGCTAGAGATCTAGCTTCCAATATAGAAGAAGAAATTAGAGAGTTGCCACCAGTGTTTAAAATTTCAGTTTAGGTCAATTGATACGGTAAAGTGAATACTGCAATATGGCTGTGAAAAGAAAGAAATTTACAAAGGCTTACAGCTGAAAATATTTTTGGGGAAGGTTGCCACCTATTTGAAAACTTTAATTTAATTTAATTGATAGCATAAATTAAATATTGCAATATTGGCATCAAACTAAAGAGGCTAGGAAATTTTAATGCTAAAATATTTTTAGGGTATTTGCCAACTGATTGAAAAATTGTATTCATTAAAATTTGTAAAATAAATGAAATATTCTTGAAGCGGGTTTGAAAACTTTAATTCAGTTAAATTTATAATATAAACTAAGTGTTGCCATATGGGAATCAAGCGAGAGTATTTGAGAATATGTTAAAGAAAAATTAATAGGGTTTATTAGATCAACAGAAACCAAATATAAAATTTTGGTATGTTTGTCTGTATGTTTGTAAGCGCATCACGCAAAAGCTAATGTATGGAGTTAAATGCAGTTTTCACCGATGTACATATTGCTAGAGCTCTAATCTATACATATAATAAAATTGCAACAGGTCGATGTCTGTACATTATAGATATTAAAGAAAAATTAATGTGGAGGGTCTTTTTTTTTGAGCACCAGAACCCAAATCAACCATTTTTAGAATTTTTGTCTGTCTGTCTGTCTGTCTGTCTGTCTGTATGTTTGTTCGCGCATCACTCGAAAACGAATGCATGGATTTGAATGCAGTTTTCACCGATGTATTGCGAGAGTTCTAACTTAAAATATAGGAAGAAAAAAATTAGATAGCTGCCACCTTTTTGAAAATTGGAGTTTAAGTAAATCGATAAGAAAAAATGAATATTGCAATATGGGCGTCAAAAGAAAGAGGCTGAAGAAGGCTTACAGCCAAAAATACTTTTTTAGAGTTGCCACCTGTTTGAAAATGTACATTTAATTTAATTTATAAGATAAATTGAATATTGCAATATGGGGATCAAACTGAAAGGGGTTAGGAAATATTGCCGAAAATATTTTTAGGGAGGGCTGCCACCTGTTTGAAAAATTTCATTGTATTAAATTGATAAAATAAATGAAATCTATATCTACATCTATTCATATAATAAAATTGTAACAGTTCGATGTCTGTACCTTATAGATATTAAAGAAAAATTAATATGGTGGGTTTTTATTTAAGCTACAGAAGCCAAATAAACAATTTTTAGAATTTTTGAATCTCTGTCTGTCTGTATATTTGTACGCACATCAGTCGAAAACATGGAATTGAATGCAGAGTTTTCACCGATGTATCGCTAGAGATCTAGCTTCCAATATAGAAAAAGAAATTAGAGAGTTGCCACCTGTGTTTAAAATTTCAGTTTAGGTCAATTGATACGGTAAAGTGAATACTGCAATATGGCTGTGAAAAGAAAGAAATTTACAAAGGCTTACAGCTGAAAATATTTTTGGGGAAGGTTGCAACCTATTTGAAAACTTTAATTTAATTTAATTGATAGCATAAATTAAATATTGCAATATTGGCATCAAACTAAAGAGGCTAGGAAATTTTAATGCTAAAATATTTTTAGGGGATTTGCCAACTGATTGAAAAATTGTATTCATTAAAATTTGTAAAATAAATGAAATATTCTTGAAGCGGGTTTGAAAACTTTAATTCAGTTAAATTTATAATATAACCTAAGTGTTGCCATATGGGAATCAAACGAGAGTATTTGAGAATATGTTAAAGAAAAATTAATAGGGTTTATTAGATCAACAGAAGCCAAATATAAAATTTTGGTATGTTTGTCTGTATGTTTGTAAGCGCATCACGCAAAAGCTAATGTATGGAGTTAAATGCAGTTTTCACCGATATACATATTGCTAGAGCTCTAATTGAAAATATAGAATCATTTTTTTTTTTTTTGTTTTAGTTTATCGTCGATCATTATTCCTAGGTATTTGAACGTATTAACTTTTTCCAGCGTGTCGTAGTTTATATTTAGAGTTAGCATCGGACCGTTCTCAAAATTTCGCCT